TATTGTGTGTTCAGTTCATGGTGTCCACAATGTATTATTGTTCGAGACTTATGTTTGTACTACTTATGTATTTTTGTGGGAGACTTATGTGTTTTTTCCTCAAGGTTTTATGAATTACATTATCAGCTTCTAACCCAAAAGAAAGACAACAGAAAAAAAAATATTATTTAAATGAAAACGGCTTTAGTAAAGCCAAAACCAATTTCTGAATAACACATTCTAACTCAAAACAAAGAGAAGAGAAAAAAATAAAAAATAACAAAGTTTACATGAAAACGGCTTTGATAAAGCGAGAAGAAATTCATGAATTACATTATCAGCTTCTAACCCAAAACAAAGATAACAGAAAAAAATATATATTATTTACATGAAAAAGGCTTTAGTAAAGCCAAAACAAAATTCTGAATAACACATTCTAACCCAAAACAAAGATAACAGAAAAAAATATATATTATTTACATGAAAAAGGCTTTAGTAAAGCCAAAACAAAATTCTGAATAACACATTCTAACCCAAAACAAAGACAAGAGAAAAAAATAAAAAATAAAAAACTTTACATGAAAATGGCGTTAGTAAAGTGAAAAGAAATTTATGAATTACATTATCACCTTCTAACCCAAAATAAAGACAAAAGAAAAAATATATATATTTAAATGAAAACAGATTTATTAAAGCCCAAACAAATTACTGAATAACACCTTCTAACCCAAAACAAAGAAAAGATAAAAAGCTCAAAAAATTTACATCAAAACGGCTTTACTAAAGCTCAAAAAATTTATCAATTACATTATTACCTTCTAACCCAAAACAAACACAAGGAAAAACAAAAGAAATTTACTTTAGTCAAACAAAATAAAAAAATGCTGAATTACACATTCTAACCCAAAATAAAGACAAAAGGAAAGAAAAAAAAATTAATATGAGAACGGTTTTAGTAAAAGAATTTTAACCAAAAAAATTATTCTGAAATATATTATCACCAAAACAATGACAACATAAACAAAAGAACGAAAATTTTTTCTTTAAAGTTCAGTAAAATTGAAATTAAACAAAAAAATTACGCTAAAAACACGGTTCATAAAAAAATTTGGCAAAAAATCGTGGTTCTAAAAAGTGAGGTGAATTTTTTTTTTCATAAAACGTGGGTTTTGATGAACTCGTGGTTACAAAGAGCGAGTTCATTAGAAATTTTTTTTTGACAAACTCGTGCTTACAAACAGCGAGTTCACCTTTCTGATAAACTCGTGGTTTGAAAAAGCGATTTCAGCATGAAATCGTGCTTGTAAAAAGCGAGTTCAAAGGAAAGAAATTTAATCAAACTCGCGTTTTCTAACAGCGAGTTCTTAATTAAACTCGCTTTTCCTAACAACGAGTTTCAACTTTTACTGATTTCAAGCGACAGGGGTGGAAAAGTGTTGAACTCGCGATTGTGAACCGCGAGTTAGCTCATTCTGGGAATTCTTTCAAAACTAGGCTTAGTTTGGGAATTCCCTTCTTATTTTGGCTTATTTAGGGAAATGGCCATTTTATTTGATTACAAAGACTTTATGCCATTTGGCATGTCAGTTGATTTTTTGACTTTTTATTTGGCATGTCAGTTGATTTTTTGACTTTTTAACTATTTTAATCCCGGCTAAAAAGATCGTTTGGGTTGATATTTTTGACTTTTAAGACAAAATATCATATTAAAATTATAATTATTTTATTTTTTCTCACAAAAATAAATTTTTTTTTAAAAAAAAGCCAACACAAACAAACTTTTTGACGAAGATTAAAATAGTCAAAAAGCTCAAAAACCAACCCACATGCCAAATGGTATCAAAGTCAAATAAAAATCCAAAAATCCAAAATCAAAGTTGAAGATGAGTTTACTAATCCAACTAGGGATGGCAATTTGAAACCGACCCGATGGGGATCCCCGACCCCGATCCTGATTTGAGCGATTTTTCCCCGAAAAATACCCCCGACGAGGAGGGGACGGTATTTGAAAATCAATCCCCGATCTGTTTCGGGCCGGGGACGGTGATCAGTGTTCAAGCCCCGGCCCGGCCCCGGTCCCGTCCCCGTCCCCGGCCCCATCCTCGAATTTCCCTGAAATAAAATTACATTTATACCCTTTATATTTATATTGTATGCATATATATATAATATATCTGTGTTGTTTTTTTTTTTATGTTTTTTTGAGGAGCTGTGTTGTTTTATATCTCTTACTCTCTAACCTGTTTCTGACTCTCATCTCAACTCTCTCTTTTTTTTTTTTTTTTTGATCGGAATCTCAACTCTCTCTTTCACTCTCACTCTCTTTTTGACTCTCATCTCAACTCTCACTCTTAACTCTCTCGTTCCTCATGGCCACCACCAGCCCACTGCCACAGCCGCAGAGGTGTACTCAGATCTAATAGATCTGTTCTCTCTCTCTCTCTCGCTCTCTCTCTCTCTGTGATCTGATCATCGTCATCGCTGCATGATCATCAATCGTCGCCGCTGCATACCCTGCCATCGTCGTCAGCGAAGAAGTATGGGGTTTCAGCTCCGCTGTAAGACGACTCTCTCTCTCTCTCTCTCTCTCCCCTTATATTCTCTCTCTTCATTTCAGTTCTGAATCTAAAGCGTTTTTCTTCGCCATTTCTCAGATCTGAACCAGATGGTGAAAGAAAATGAACCAGATCTGAGGGCTTGTACATTTTTAATGATTGTTGATGATTGATGAATTGTTGTTGATGATTGTTGATGATTGAACCAGATTTTTTTTTTTTTTTAATAAGTTGTTGATGATGAAAAAAATGGGTCGGGGAAACCTGCTCCCCGTTGGGGGCGGGGATGGAGACGACGGTAGGTTCCCCGTCGGGGATCGGGGCCGGGGCCGGGGCCGGGGAGATATTCACAATCGGGGATCGGGGACGGGGAGGGTGATCCTCGGCCCCGCCCCGCTCCGTTGCCATTCGTAAATCCAACTTCTCGAAGGGCATATATACCAACAGTGCAAAACTTGTCCTAAGGCACTGATTAACAAGTTTGAAATAGTAGTAACTCTTTAACCAGACCCTTAAAAAAAACAAGAATCGTGGAAGACAAAAACATTTGAATGATATAAGTGAATGCTCCATGCAAAATAAGTGGCCAAGTCTTCAATTCATAAGGTATCATATATACGATATTGCGATACTATGACAGACCAAGTTTACTCCTCAAATCTCCAATGCAAATTGATGTAGTTGGAACGTAGGGTGATAAAATAGTAATTATGAATTTGGCCCAATGCTGGAAACTACGATTTTAGCAACGGGTATAATACATCAAGTTTCACATAAATAAACAAGTTTTATATCCCAACCACACTAAAAATATTACAAGTCTACCATTTCCATTAAAGTATACCTTCAAGAGTATTGCAAACACAGAATAATTCAAAATATATGCTATTTCAAAATCAAAAACCACTCTTACCCTGAAATAAGTACTAAGGTAAACACAAAAATGTCCCCCAAATGCAATTCTAAATGAACCTATACCCCTTTTCTAGCACATACACAGCCACTTGGGAATACATAATCCAAACACAAATGAAATAACAAGGAAATTCAAAACCCAACTTTTTTATACTCATCGTATCCTGGAAAAAGTAGGATATAGGGAAACACAAAAATGTCCCTCAAATGCAATTCTAAAGGAACCCATATTCCTTTTCTAGCATTTACACAGCCACTTAGAAATACATATTGAAATGTGTAAACACAAATAAAATAAACAAGAAAATTGAAAAACCAGCTTTTAGACTAAAATGGCTTGCTATATCAGTTATTAACACCAAATCCAATACCACAATGACAATGAATGCTGCAAAACAAACTTCAGCACCCAAAACTACATCCTTAGACGCCATTATGACCATGACGAGCCGTAGAGATTAGATCATTCACTAACCTTGAAGAATTCTGATTGGGTGGACAGTCAATCATCCTGATTAAAATTAAAAACCATTTCCAACCCTATTCTAGAATTCCATGTAATGTCTCACAAAACATTTCAAGAAAAAATCTCGACAAATGGACGAACAAAATTTGCCATCATCAAAACCTACATAGTCTATTCAAGCTTGTATATATTTATCCCTTGGATGAAATCTTGACGTCGTACATGATTACAAAATTTGTGCAGACTAGCTTAGCTTGCCTGCTGCCATCTAAATCCTTCTGTTAAGAAACAGCGGAACTTCCGTAACTCCTCAAAGTAAACCATTTCAGCATCCAAGAGGTTATGTGGGCAACCTCTCAAAATGTTTTTAAAGAAAAGAACAAATAAATAAAAATACAACTTCTGCATCAAGATCTGTTTTTCCATAATTTAAGAAACAACTTCCTAACATTTTGTTACTTTCAGTTATAATCTATGTTACATGGACTTTGGGCATAGGTGTCAAGTGTGGCTATATATCTAGAGGTCGGACTCGGCTAAAAAATGTACTATATGTAACTTACAATATTAAAAAGATATTTATAGTAATTATACAATAATATGTACATATAATAATAATGTTATATACAATTATATAAAAAGTGTCTGTTGAAAAATATCTAATATATATCCCATACCCTGAGTGTTAGGTGTCTGACACAGGTATTTCATTTATTTTGAAAAGTCAAGCAACGTAACTAATAAAACATAATTCTTCAAATGCCTAACAGCAATTTAGAACATCTTTTTCGAGCAAGTCTCCTTCTACCTTTGCAATTGTTCTTCAGGAGTATCACATTTTCCATTTTCTATTCTGATAAGAGTATCCAATTTCTATCTCACTACTCATAATTATTTGCATCAGTCAAGTAATATCAAATTAAGACATCAAATCAATATTTAGCATCAATCACCAATTACAATTACTGTTTTCCAAATTGAACTAATCATCACCACAAACAAATGCAATTGAAGAAACATATTAAAAACAAAACAAAGAGACAAGCGGAAAATCAGAAGAGAACTGTTACTCTCATGCTTGAGAATTAAAAACAAACAGAACAATATCATTGGAACTAAATGTGTAATTTCATATTAAACCAACATACATCCGAAACAAGCTACAACAAAATCAATTAAAAACAAAAAACAAAAAATTACACAGAGTAGATCTAAACACTAAAATCTAACTACCAAACTAACATATACTAGTTATGTGAGTTGAACCTGTCCACCTATTTTGCCAATTTGAGAGAGCTCCACAACTCTTGGAACTGCATTTTGGGAATATCCCAATTAACAACACTCTATACTCTAACCCCAACCCACAAACTCAGGATTCTGGTGTAGGCATTCTCTTCGGTTTCTTGTTCCTCTTCTCCGAAAATGCTTTTGCAAATGTCTCAACAATTCGTTGTTGCGACTCGAGAATCATCTCGGTCCTCTTCATCTCCATTTCCATTCGCATCGCCTCGAACTCTCTCGCCATCTCCATTTTCACTCTTTCCATCCTCACAAACCCATCTCGTAACGCATTGATCGCAGTCACAATCTCTGCCACCGGGTCTCCCTCTCTCTTCTTCCCCATTCCATCACCACCACCACCACCACTACTGTTCCCCAACCCTAATCTCTCCGAATACCCATTTCTTACAACCCTAGTAGACACAAAATTAGGGTTCGAATCAACATTCGAATGCGGTTTTACATCGAAATTATTACTATACATCTTCGTCCGTGGTGCCGATTGACCAGGAATTCTGATCCGAAACGCACTTCCACTACCGATCCCATTACCATAACCTCTCCGATTCTTGACACTGCGATACAAATCTTCATCATCATCATCCTCATCTTCATCCTCATCTTCGTTGCCTTCTTCATTGGCTTCAACACCAATAGGACTCGCATCAACCGTAACAGCAGAGGGACCTTTTTCCATACAATCCATGCGCTTGAAGTGAACCCAAGATGACGAAAACCGGTGATTCGGAGTCGAAAACGATCGTTGAATCTCCGTACGGTACCGTTTGCGGAGCTTCTCCATCTTGTGGCGGCACTGTACGGAGGTCTTCGGAGGGTTTCCGGCGGAGACAGGGCAGCGATTGGCTACATCTTCGGCGACCTCTTGCCAGTGATTGGCTCGAAGATTGCCTCGCCGGAGAGAGTACCATTTGTCGCAATAAGCATCGATCAAGGCCACCGTTTCGTCGTGGGACCAGCACGGCGGAGGGAGGCGGCGGGAGGTGGTGGAGGAGGGAGGCGGTGGTGGGGCAGGGAGAGCTAAGAGATCTTGGGGTGAAGGTGGAGAAAGTGAGGATGATGATGCAGCCATGGTGGGGGAAGTGAAGGATAAGAAAGGAGGCGCAGTTTAGCAGGGGAGGGAAGAGAGAGAGGGAGAGAGGAGAGAGAGGGGTAGTTGGGGGCTGTGAGGGTGGACATTTGGGGATTTTTAAGGGGGGGTGGAGGAGGGAGGGAGGGAGGGAGGAGAGTGAGAGAGAATCAATGCCTAAAATCTCACGATGACAAAAATGCAAACTCTTTTGATTAAAACGAAGCATTTGATGTGCTCTAGCTTTTGGCCTTAAGAACTATGGGTAAGCAATCAGTAGAACTAAATGAAATCAAAGGCTTTAAAACTCTAAGGGTTAACAATGGCGAATAGAGCTATCAAGGAGAAGAATGGGTGTGAATATAGGTTTTTACGCACTAAGTATTGTTTTAAAAATTCGGAGCACCATGGGCACGGATACACATTCACATGCACGAACACACATTCACAGGCACGAACCTCACAATCGCCGGCACGGTTGTGGGATCTCCTAGACAGGGGGTCCGAGTGTGCCAGACAGTTTGAGCCCTTAACCTGGTTGCACAAGTGTAATTTGAAACAGAATGAGAGTCTAAATTTAGCAAATTTATAGAAAATTCACTAATCATAAGAGATGCCAAAAATGGACTACATTACTAGACTCAGAGTCGCCACCTAATATTTTCGAAAAATTAAACTAGGAAACCCATGACTTGTACCCAAAGGCCATGATCCATCGTAATCAATCACACACATTCTCATTTTTTGTATCTATCACACACATTCTCATTTTCAAAATAATCTCATAGAATGAGTTATCCTATGGATTGTGTCCAACCCCCCATGGGATAGAACAATCCCATAGATGTGAGATTCATAGTTCGGTGCAAAAAATTTGATTACTAAGAACATCTCCAAGGGGATAGTTAAACAAGGCTTGTTAGGCATTTTAGCCAATGTAAGTCTAATTTTGATCTCCAATGGGCTAGCTATGGGACTAGCTACTTTACCATCCTATTTTTTTGGTGGCTACAATTGAAGAGCCCTGGAGGCTCTCCAAACAATTATGTATGCATATATTTTAGTTTTTTATATATTTATGCCTTGGGTTTGGGATTTTATATATATTATATATATATGTGTGTGTATGTGTGTATGTAGCAATTTTATATATTCTTTCAATTATGTTTGATGAATTACGGAATAACTTATTTTGTATTTTGTATTTTTTTTTCTCTTCATTCTACAGGTTTTGTATGTTTGTATGGGCAAATTTATTATTATTGCAAATTTATATTAGTAGAATATCAACAATTAGTATTTTTTTATTTTAAAAATTAATTAAGTTAGTTTAAATGATTAGCTAAAATACAGAGCGTGGTTGGAGAACACAATAGCTAAAATAATTAGGTAAAATAAAGAGTGTACTTTTTTTATACTTTAGCTAGTGAAAAGTAGAGAGTATGGTTGGAGTTGCTCTTGACAGACTATTTTTGTAATACCAATTCTTCGTTTGGATTATCAATCCGCTCACTCAAGACCCATCCTAATCTGAACGGACTAACAATCCGGAGGCCACAAACAAAACAAACATGAGCTACATACACTGCTCATCCATCACAGTCCACTCCGGACTGTGATGGCGCCCAAACATACGAGACCTAAGATTATAATGGTTAGCACACGCAATAAGTGTATTAAGTTAAACAAATAAAAATAAAATAAAATAAAATATTTAATATATATTTATTGTAATTTCATTTTAGAACATTCTAAGGTTAAAGTGGTTAGCACACGCAATAAGTGTATTAAGTTAACTAAATAAAAATAAAATAAAATATTTAATATATATTTGTTGTAATTTCATTTGATAAGAGTTTTTTATGTTAATTTTGTAATCTTAAGTTCAAATCTTTTAATATAACTTTTTATTATTATTTTTTTATTTTAGAAATAACTGGACACATGGCATAAAAAGAGACAAGATGATCTAAATAAGTGTATTTTTTGACTTTTTATGAAATATAGATTGGGTATGGGTTGGGTTTGAAGTGATGTGGTAGAGAGGTGATGTGACTTAAATAAGATGATGTGACTTAAATAGAATAATGATTTTTTGACTTTTTTAGAGTACCCCAAACAAGGCTAAAATTTCAAAACACCAATCTAAGTTTTTTTTTTATTATAATAAATAACTGGACACTTAGCATAAATAGAGACAAAATTCCAAGACAGCAATCTAGGTGCTCACATATATTATAGTATAGATAGATAATGTTGTTACCAGAGAAAGCTGCTTTATGCTAGGCGACCAGACCTATTACGTTCGAGCGGGACATTTGAATTTTGACATTTGGGGGTAAATTACACTTTATTTTAAATTTGATTATTTTTTCTTTTTAATTTTTGAAGCTTTTTTTTTTCACTTTATTTTTTTAATATTTTAAGTTTTTTTTTAAAATTTATTTTATATTTAAAATTAAATAGAAAATACCATATTAGCTATTGGAGGAATTCAAAGACGTTTTTAAATTCGGTTATTTGATTTTTTTAGTGTGTTGATTTGGTGAGTTTTTAAATTATAAAATCGGTTAATTAAGTTGATTCTTAATTTAAACTTTGTCTAAATCAAACCATCTTGAAAACTGAACTTATTTATTCATGTGGATGGTAAAGTTGTCTCCATATAAAGAGAAACTAAAATCAGTAAACACCCTTAACCCCTACTTAGATAGATCAAAAAGACCCTCTAACAATTAAGTTAATGATTTGGTTAAACATTTTGTATAACAAATGAAATGAGTATTTTACGAGTTTTTAGTTACCTGATCTGCCTTTCTCTTTTTATAATTGATTAAGATTTTACCTTAAACCGTTGATTTTCTTTAAATCAGACAATTAATCTTTTGTCAGGAATCATTTCTAGTAGTGGCCAAGTTGCATTAACTATGAATAGTGGCCAATTTGTCTGGATAGTTGATCGTTGGATCCGAATTGTCAGACGATACTTCTCTACGTTGGTGATAGGTTAAGTGGTGGCCAAGTTGCTGTAATCCTCGCCCGTCGGATTTGTATTGATCTAATAGCTGCCATCATGGCTTGACTTGTTCTGAATCATATCCCATCCTGGGTTGATATGTTGTGATTTTGGTCGGCCATTTTTTATGGGCTTTATTGAATTTGGGCCTCCCTTTAAAAGATTTTGGGCATACATTCCTAGTCGGGTTGGGCTCAGATTTTCACTCCTACAATAATATATAAAAAATAGTATAGGTCTTAAATTTTCTATCAAATAAATGACTAAATACTTGGTGTAGACTTTACACTTTTGTAAACCCCACACCCATGTGAGACATTTGATCATTTATTTAGTAAAAAATTTGGTATATCTAACACTACCCATAGTATATATCTATAATTTAAAATTTTATTTATATTAACATATTTTCACTTAATTACTCTTTTACAATAGATTTGATCGCACCTAATAATTGTTCACTTAGAAATTCTATTAGGTGAATGAAGAAAGTAAGTTGGATTTCATAATTGATTTAATGTGTATGTGTTGTATTAATAGATTTAATTTGCATTGGTTATGGTTAATCTTAAGTTGGATTTAATTTGTATTAGTTTGCAATAAATAATATTTTGCTCTTTATTTATATTATGTTTAAAAGTAAAATTTTGTTTATTTTAATTACTCTATTTATTATTGATTGATTTATTCATTTTTAATATAGTGGAATCATAATTCTAAACCGAACTAACCCGAGTTGTATTGGGTTGAATTGGGCTGTGCATTATTAGTTTGGTTTTGAATCCAAAAAGTTAGAAAAGATCATGATTGAATTGTTTCTAAATCAAATCAAGCCAAATCAAATTGACCCATGAACAATCTTAATAAACTGTTACGTTATATAAAAAAATATTGGGGAATTTACTGATAAGTCCCATGTACCAAGTTCAAGATCCAGCTAATCCCAAAACAAAACACTTGCACCAATTAGTCCAATACATTTTTAATTGTTACCAAAAAATCTTCTTTTTTTTTTTAATTTACAGACACTGTTCACATCTTACTACCGTCGGACTTCCATTTAACGGTCGCCGAAAACTCACCGGAATGTCTAGAATATTGCCGGAAAAAAAAAATTAAAAAACATGTTATGAAACTGTAAAATTTTACAGTTCTAAAGAATGTTATAAAACTGCAAAATTTTACAGTTTTAAACCATGATTCATTCCAGCACCAAAAAAAAATTTTGAAACTGCAAAATTTTACAGTTTTCACTGCCTGTAACTAAAACTCGAAAAGTACTTGTTCAGAATTCGAAAATTTTCTCTATTAGAACAGAAAAACAGAAGTGTATAGCAGAGAAAAAAAAAAGAGATCGAAGGAGAAAGGCGGATGTAGAGAGAGGATTATACTCCGACAACTATTTTTTGTTTAGATCTAGCCAAATCTGATGTAGATCTACTCAGATCTGATAGATCTGAGTAGATCTACATCAGATCTAAGTAGATCCACTCATCTTCTTCGTCGGAAATATATATCTTCGCCGTCGGTGAGAGTGAAATCACGAGTTGATTTCCATGATTGGCGGTTATCAGTGAACCCCGATCAATGGAGAAAGACATGAACACTTGCACCATCGTCTATGACGAAGACGATGAGAGAAAAATGTAGAAAAAAAGAGAAAGGAGAAAACATAAAAAGGGAGGAAAAAACCAGAGAGATGAAGGAAAGGACTTTTGGGTGTACCTAAAAAGTTATGGGATTAAATGGGATCCACATGTTCCACATGAGACCTATGGATAATTTCCCCCAAAATATATTATTATATAGAGATTAAATTTGTGTTGAAAGTCAGAGTTATATATGATAAAATATATTTGTCTCATGTAATGATCAAAGCTTGCCCTTCATTTGGGTGTGTTGGGTTTTAATTGCCTATTGACAACTCAATTTGACACATGGATGTCACGTGAGTTCTCATGTGACTTGTCATGTGAGTCATGTGGCAGCAGGCATGAAATGCATTCGCCTTTAATTGAACGGAATTCCTAATTTATCCAAATAAATTTTATTAATTTTTTTACTCAGAAAATAATTGTGTGATCGAGATTGAAATAGTGTTTATGTAGGGTCATATAAGAAAAAAAATTAAGATCATAGGTTGA